TGTACATGGCTCCAACTGTGGCAGCTTTTTTGAGTTACTGGTCCAAGAAAGTAGGAAAAAGTGTTCGAACTGGGGTGGTATTAGGGTACCAGACAGCTCCTACAAGTGTGCATGAATTTATCCATATTTGCTGCTAAAAATACAAGCTTTGGTTGACATTTATTCCACTTTTAAGGCCTCTAACATCAGCAGAAAATTTATGTGTGGCAAATTCCAGTTTACTGCCACATACCATCTAGTTATAGACTATATAAAGTGTATTTGAGCTGTAGTTGATTAAAAAAAAGACAGTTTCACTTATTTTTCTGCTTTGGTGACGGCAGTTTACTTCTGTGGATTCTGTCAACATGAAATTACACTTTACGCCTTCAAAACCGGTATTCTATAATCTCAGTAAAAGTGTGAAAATGAGTTTTTAGCATAATGTGTCTCTTCTAATTTTTTTCTGGTGCAACTCAACCGCCGTTTAGTAGGACTAGAAAATAAAGAAAATTAGGTTTTTACCTTTTGTGCTTGACAAAAACGAGCACCGAAGTTGTGAAAAATAGGACACTTTTAGTTGATTTTCCTTAAAATTAAGTTGAAAACTCTTTTTTTGTTGTTGTTGTTGTTTAAGAAAGAAGAACCAAGAAGTATATTATTGCAGAAATTCTGTCAAAAAACAAGCGAGTGCCTCAGAATGAGTAGTACGAGTGGCAGGTAGCTCTCGTCTCCACGAGAAAACGAGATGATAAAGGAGTGACATGATGGCGCTGGAGTACATGTAGGAGGCAGTGTGGAGTGTGTGTGGGCAGCGGAGAGGGGTAAACCTGCATGGAGAGCACTCTGGCTTGTTTTTGTCATTACCAAGCTGAGAGTGAAGCACATTTCCAGGCGCGCAGATGGGATGCGATGACCCGTCAGGTTTAGTCAGTCGCATGGATCGAGATGCACTTATTAAACAATGGACTGATTTGTTATGCTGCCCTTTGTTCGGGTTGTACATGTGAAGATGGGGGCTAATTACTGCGTGCAAACGTGGATACCCTAACCTCTGTGTGTGTGCTCCAATATTTGCTGGATTAGATTTAGGCTTAAAAACATTCTGAGATGAAGGATCAAACCACCAAACTGGCAATTAACCTGCTCTACGTGTGCATGTGCAGCCACCGCCGAGTGTTCCTCAGCCAGTGGAGGACATTTAACAGATGCCCACTCATTTCTTTGTAGCAGCCCAAGGCCAATTCTTTCTACATCTGAATGTTTCCTTCCTGTGGTGCCTGATCTCTGTCCTGCATTTCATTTCTTACTGTATGCCTGCCTCTGGACACTATTATGCTACAGACTTTGAGTTTCTACTCGCCGCTGGACTTCATCCAAATGACTTCTATGAACTTTTCAAAACTTACATCACAGGATTCCTGCAATCCATATCTGCATTTCTCAGTGTACCTTAACAGGGTTTTCATTCCTCCATCCACCGGAACAGACTTCTTCGTTTCCTCTTGCTGCATTAATCTTCTGCTTCGCCGTGCTCCTCGTCCACACTTGACGGTCCACGCCTGTGCCGGCTCTTGTGAGATCTGACTGTGACTCATCTCCCTGCCTATTTGTAGTTTATGGGTTTGAATCCAACAGATCAAGCCCGCCTTTGATACTGTGTTTCTAATCCAAGATGTCCCTTATGAGGCATTTTTCCAAGATGTCATGTGCTTTATCTCTGTGAGCCTCTGTATTCCCAGTGGTCCCCAGCACTGGGTCTGATACAGCATATGTTCTTAAACTAGGACACCAGTCTGCTTAGAAATGCAGAGAAAAGATGTGGGCAGCACGTTACTAGAAATGAAACGTTTTTTAAAAGGCAGCTTTTTCGACTCTCTAGAGAGCAGCGCGCACATCAATGTGATCTCAGTAACAGGATGAACTGCGCCCACTGGTTTCACTCTGGCAGCATATATGATTGCCAACTGCCACGACTGGGTTAACATATTTGTAGGCCCCAGGGCAAACATTTGCAAATGGGCTACTGACCTCCTCCCACCTACCTCTGTTCATTGTTTATGTACCTGTCAGCTCTGAATCCTTAATCAGGGAAACATGGTGGGAAATGCACTTATTTACTTTCTTGTTTCGGATTCTGTCTTGATAGTTTCGGTTTCTGGAGAAATTCAACAAACAAGACGCTGATTATTGAGCTTCTATTGATTGATGTGTGCATATTTTTTAACCTTTGGTCCGGGTCAGATTAGCTTTTTGATTGTTTCCAGTCTTTATGCTAAGCTAACCACCAGCTGAGTCCAGCTGCATGTTTATCACACCAGCATCAGTCTTTCCAGCGAACTTGAATGTGGAGCCGTTACATGAAATACAGAGCAGGGAGCAGAGCGAGACCGACATCCACCCAGAGACCCAGAAACTAATCGGTATTCTTGTAGAGGAATAGCACTACCTTTTCTCAGGACAGTAACACTTCTGTTACTTCTAAGGAAATCTATCGCAATGTGTCAGTATTTTTTCGAATGCAGTCATCTTTTAAAGAGCTGAGGGAGACAACTTGACAAGAATAGCAGGTTTCTTTTCACCTGGCATGCCATGTTGTGAAAAACTGCTTTAAAGAGCCTGTCAAGATTTTTCATTGAAAAGAATAGGATGGATACGACTGCCAGCAAGCTAACAAGCTGCAGATGCTTGCTGCCTGCAGAGCCCATTTCAGTGAAACTGGGCATGATAATAAGCTGTTTTTCAGCTGACAAAGACAACGCAGATGGTTTTTGGTTTTATGTCACAAACTGCTTGCTCATTGCGATCAAAACAACACATGTAAAGGAAGCTTTATCCTAACATGAAAAGAACGTAACGATGAAAACAGGACATCACAGATTAAATAAACTGCTGTAATACAGAGAAAGGAGCGTGCACCCCTTTATGTTTTGAATTTTAACCAGAGGCAGCTATACTGGCCAAGTGCAATGACATGTCTGATGTAGATTCTCATTTACTTCCAACAGACTAAAAATTATAGGAAGAAATGCTGACAGTTATAAACAGGCAGAAGCTCAGTTTAACATATGCAGCATGGCAGATAAGACCTGGGCAACAAACTATCAGCACGGCCTATTATTACTATGGATTGCACATACAGGGTTATAGTACAAGTTATGCAAGAGTCCATCTCAGGGCAAGGAATGCTGTAATAACTGTTCAAGGCTGGATTATGAACTGGGCAAAGCTGGAGTTCATGGGGCCCAAGATGGTTGCGTTGTTTGGCAATTACTTTGTGGTAATTTGATTAATTGATATATGCACCTTTAAAGCACATTATAAAATGAAATACTAGGGAAGCTGTGTTGTTAAGGAACCCTGTGTCAAAACTGAGTTATTGGGGCCATTTTAAGTTTATTTAAAAGTTGCAATGGAAAGAGATTGGAAAAATGGGGAGCAACATGAGGTAAAGGTTAAATTTACTAATTGGAGGCATACATATGAATGCTGTATGCGTCTAAATAACTCGATCACTACTTTGCAGGGGCACCATTGCTGCATCCTGGGCTTAGCACCACCCAATGCAGCAGTGATTGTTTTAAAGGAATACAAACTAATTTCTCCCCTGGATCCTGGATAGCAGAATGATGATGAGATGCAACACAAAATTCTGTCAGTAGTAGAGAATGGCCTGCCTAAAAAAGGCAAAAAAAATCTATATTATATTATGCTTATGTGGTCCATCTTAGTTAAAGGAATTTACAAGAGGTCACTGGGTACCACAGTTCGGAAAGCTTTTTGTCAATCTATTTTCCAAGTTAAAATAGTTGTGAAAAAGAATTCTGTCCTCAAACATGATAGACTCAGGAAGCTTTGCAGTGTTTAAAACCAGCATCAAGGTTTAGCTAAAGTCAACTTAAAATTGTCAATGCCAATGATTTTCTTTTATTTACCGTGTTTTCACTATTTCTATTTATTATCTAACACTGATGGACTTTTAGGTTTTGTGCCGTTCAAAGATGTCCCATGAAAAACAAGAGAGGAGAGGTAAGTGCAGAGAGGCAAGCGCTGTTGTTAAAATGACTAATTCTCAAAAAGAAAAAAAAAAAAAAAAGCAATGCTGCCTTATTGCATGTTCCAAACCTTATGGCTAAACTTAAATTTTTCAGCATTGTGCGTTGCCGTTCAGAGGTTGTTGTTGCTTGAAGTGAATGGGATCCTGAAAATGGTAGCACGCAGATAGCAGAAGTGTAATCAAAGCTGCAAACTAGCGAGAAGAAGGTAGAGGTGACCCAGGAGAATGGAATTAAGATGCAAAGGTCATTTGGCCCCAGGGACCTATTGTGTAAAGTATCCAGCATATATATATATACACACACACACACACACACATACAGAGGCCTATATATGGTGAAAGTAGACATACATGACAACAATATCATAATATGCTAATTTGGAAATGTGTGTTGCACTATAAAACTGTATGTGGTTGAACTGAAATTTATTTTTACACATTTTTAGACGTTTAATGACTGATTTATATATTTCTCTGTACATGCAAATTGCCAGCAGGCGACTGGCTGGAAAAAAAAAAAATCCGTGGACGTTTCACCAGACTATGGTGGCACAGCGTCTGAAGCCGTGACAAAAAGGTCTACAAGAACATTTTAGACGCTCAACCTCTCGCCACACTCCACATTTCCCTCTTTGACAAGCTTCACACGCCTTAACGGGCGGTTATTCGGGATGTGGCGGAGAAAAACAAATGGCCTAGCGGGCTCTCTTATGGAAAGCAGGCAGGGCACAGCGGGGCTACAGTGACATTTTCCCCACATGCAAAATCATGCAAAAGGTAAATACTGAGGCGGAGGGATACAAACACTATTGCAGAACATGGCCGTCACCTCCGTCATGTCCTCTCTTGCGGGCCCGCCCACCGAGGCGACAACGCTCCGCGATTGGACGAGAAGTTCGCACGTCGGCTCCCGATTGGATCCCCCGCGGGTCACTCACGGGCTGATGCCAATGACGTCGATCGTACACTGGGTACGCTGTGTCGCCTGGGTGGACAGTATAGTTACATCAACATTAAATGGAATAAAATGCCGCGGATTCATGTAAATAGGGACGTCGCTTCAACGCAATTAATTAACGGTTCCTAATTAGCGCGGCTCGCCTCCGGAGCGGGTGGTGACAGGCCTATTTTCGGCGTTTAACGGCAATATTTCAGGGTAAGTGGAGTGATACATTTCCTTCCTGCGTCTTTTTTCCTCGCACGGGTGCAGACCTGCTCGCTTTATCATTTAAATATTGCAAACTAATCGGCAACACCGCGCTGGTTTGTGTCACACACACACGCAGCCGATATTTGGGCACAAAATGTCCGTAATGTGATTAAAAGTAGTGCGTACTCCAGCTCGCCGAAGCCGAGTTATATGGGGAGAGTGAGGAAGGTAATGGCTGTCGGTCGGGACTCGTAACTAGAAAATTGTGAAATGGCCTGTGGAGAGTAACGCTAGCTCGGCCTTTGCTTCGTAAATCAACCCCGGCTGTTGTGTCCTAACGGTACATTTGGTTCGGTAAAACCGGGGCACACGATCTGACAGCGGTCTCAGCCTCCCAACATGTCAGATTAGATCCAGCGGGGTACCTGTCTGCCGTCAGCGGGCCTGTTCAGTCTCCAGACTCCATCTGTCATCATGGTTGGAGGATACAGCTCCCAGTTTGTTATTTTAAAAAAAATAGTCCTTTTAACCTCATGTGGACCCCACATACCAGATCTAACGTGGTCATTAGTGTAATGACATTAAGGAGAACACATATAAGAGACTTTATTGTTCAAAGCTGTTCATCCAGTTTTTTTTTTCCAGCTCTTGAAGGCTCACTATTAACACGAGCCTGAGGAAAGATCATCACATTTTCCTGCACTGGCTCTGCTTGTAGTGTGTGATGTAGATTTAACACAAAAAAAAGGCACAAAAATGTTTAAATTGCAAAGCTATGATGCTGGCATTTTTATTCTTAAATGTACACCTTAGGAGCCAGTCAAATTAGGGCACTGATCATGCTTTGGCAGGGGTTATGTGTTCAGCGGCAGCCGTGATTCTTCCCTGCCCTCCCAGGGTAGATGCCGAAGCTGCTGGGCTAGAAGTAGGCCAGTTTGACAGGGTGATCCACCGCTGTGAGACGACCCTGCAGATGGATTCACATCAACATCTGTAGGTAGCGCAGCCCCAGAGATCAGGCTGCACGGATGGCACACACATTTCACGAAATAACCTCCGCCGCCACCTGCCTGCTTATTGTAATGTTTCATATGTGCTTTGGATCGAGCACAAAAAAAAATCGTTGTTTTCAAAGGTTTCAAAATGTCACCGTATTGTTTGGATTGCAAAAGCTCCCAAGTCCTGTTTCTGTGCTGGCCTCACAGCAGGATCAACACGCCGGCTGGCCAAAAACCTTCCTGTCATCAAGGAAGGTATTTTATTAAAATGCTTAAAATAACATTCATATCGAACCTTGACGTCTCTGTGGTAGGAGTCGAGCTGACAAAGCTGCGAAAGGTTGCCAAGATGAACAGAATTAAACAGTTTCCCCACAGCAACAATTCCTCAAGACGGCACTGAGGTCTTGGATTGTTAGCATCATTTGGGCTGTGAGAATTTTAAACTTTTATCTCTTGTGTCAGCTAAAGCCAAGCAAGATGAACATAACATTAAAATTTTAACTTATTTATATTATAGCATCAGGCAGATCCATTGCATAATCTAAAATGTCAGCTCATTTCATGTCTAGCGTCTTGACAAACTGGGAATGTGTAGATGCAGACAGTAAATACAGTGGGAGCATTTTTACATTCCAAGTTTTTTTCTTCTATGTCGGCTATAATATTTCAAGCATGTGCTTTGACATGATGTGTTTTATTAGCGGCCCTCAGCAATATATTTAACATCTCTCTTTAAGATGACGTTTTTACGGCGTGCGGTACCGATGTAAATCTGTTCAAAAATGTTAACAGCCTTGTCAATTGGTTGGATATTTTGGCCAAACTGTCAGCGTCATTTAAAGCTGTGTAGTGCTGAAACAGTTAATTGATTTAATTGATGATTGACTAAAAATTCTGTCAGACATTTTGCAAGCAAATAGGACAAATCCTTGAACTAAGCTCCAACACATGTGCTGGGTTGCTTCCTTTCTTGGAAGTATAAGGTGATGAAATGAATTTGAAGATGCTACTGTGGACTGTAGTAAATAATGATGGGAATTTTCTACCATTTTCTGTCATTTTTCTACCAAAACCAACAAAAATACTCAGCGTATTAATAGATGTATTGCTGTTAGCCTACGTGAATATATTCGTCTCGCACCACTGTATGTAGCGTTATACTGTCAGGTATTGCTCTGATGTCATAGGACTCTGCAAATCACTGCCGTCCACCTTTTGGCGAGTTGAGATTGAGCCATTAAGGCCGTCCTAAGTCCTAAATGCTAGTCTGAGAGCGGTAGATGGGCTAAACTCCACTGCGAGCCATGTTTGAGGCCCTGACCATTCATCTTGGGGCTTTGGCACATTTCATTGGCTAGCACATAATCCGCTAAAGGTCATGGCCACTAATTACACTACTCCAAAACAGACAGATGCCTACCCTGAGCTTGATTGTGCTCCCCTTCATCAGAAGAATATTCGAGGGTTGCGTAACCGTCGCTTGGATGATTCGAATAACATATGCGTGGCTCTTTTTTTTTTTTTTTACCACAGCGACCAAATGCTTTCCCTCTTAAGATAATGAGGCAAACTTGGTCCAGCCATTCATCACCATTGTGCTCTTTTATCTAGCGTCCTCCGATGTATTGTTTAGATTGTCCGTTCTGCCTGTTTGGCGTCCCGTATGTCACTGTGCGAGTTTGGTCTGGCTTCATGCAGGACTCAGCTTCAGCCAGGCAGCGACCTCGTTATCTTGGCATCCAATCAGTCCTGCGGCCAGCTCCTTAATTGAGCCATCAGCGCCTTAAGGGGGAAGAGGAGGGATGAACGTGTCAATTACAGTAATGAGGGGGCAGCCATGCAGAGGGCAGTCGGGGAGAGCGAGGCCAGACAGAAGCCTTGCGGTGTAGCCCGATCCTGGTCAATTCACAACTAATCAAAGATAATACCGTAGCCTGACAGTGGCAAAGTTAGTCGAGTCAGTAGGGAAGAGCGTTTTTTTGAAATCATTTCCCCCTCTAGCAGTGGGATATCTCTGCATGTCGGGTTGTGGTAATTGTTTGGAGTTGGTGCCTCGGAGTTGCAGCCATTGAATGATCCGATGATGCTCAGCAGTGCTGTGAATGCAGATTTAATGTATGAAAAGCTCCAGCTAAGCACAGCACAAACCACAGAATACATACATAGCTGCAAGAGTGGAGCACCGTGTTAATGTGGAGGGTTATTTGATTTAATGGATTCTTTAATATGATGTTATTTAATAATAGATACCAGTTTAATTTAGTGTGCTTTATTGGTATGAATGTCATGTTAGCAATATTGCTAAAGCATCAAGGATGGTGTAATTCCAAACAAAAAAAAAACAACATTATATTAATTGAAATAACATAATTGATTAAATTAAACAGGTTTTGACACTGTACTGTTTTCTGATCATTGCTGCTGTTTTACATTGTTTGCTGGCTGTGTGAGCAAAGAGCTGCTGCGTGAATGTCCGATAGCGTTTAGCGTCTTTAATGTAAACCCCTTTGACATGACGATAATGATGATTATCCATTAAACTGGCCAAGTAGGTCTTCTAAAGCAGAGATTCCCAACTCAGTGCTCCAGTTTGTACATCAGCAGTAGGAGCTGATACCTGGAGAGAATGTGCAGCTGTGATATTGAGCTAAAACAGTTAAAGCTCCCTGATTATGCACATTTATAGGTGTATGATTTTATTTTAGTGGTCGGCTAGAATATGTCTGCTTGCTTTCAAATGGTGCTTTGCTGCAGGAATGCTAATGGCAGATTGCAAAAAAAGCTGTCTTTGTTTGAGGGCCAAACGAGCCACTAAGCAGATGTGATGCTAATGTGTTACATGGTGAGGTAAATAAGTAAAAGCCTGGACTTCAAATGGGAAAAGAGTTTTCTGTAAGAGAGAATAACTCCTGGTGGACTTTGGGTTTGCAGACCTCTTACATTCACCAAAAACCACAACACACAAGTCTTTAATGACCAGCTATATCGCTCATTGATTGGGTTATTCTTCAATCAAAAATGCCAAATATTTATCCAGTTTCACAATTTGATTTGACAATTTTTAGGGTTTCTTTTGGTCACTGTAGTTTGAAAATCTTTTGTACTGAAGTTCAGACCAAACAAGACATTTGAAGGAATACTGATTCTCTTGTTTGTCTCACAATATATAGCATAAGTGGTTAATAAAGTGTCAAAAAAATAGTGGAAAAATTCTAATCATGGCCCAACATTTAGTCTCAATACTCCTCAACACAGAATTGTTCAAATTGCTTATAAATTGGCTCTTTTCTCTGGTTGGTTTTCTGTTGATCAGTAAGTCAGCTTCACATTAGTTCTACTCCTTGCTACCTATGAAGGGCTGACTTCACAGGAAGTGCCACACTTCCCAGGCAAACCTTGCAGCATCTTCACACTAAATGTTGTGACTAAAAGCGTGTGGAAACTGGGGATGCTGTTTCCGATACCTCAACTCAACTTTGTGTGAAACCAGTAATAATCAAACAACAGTGTCGAAACCAAACTCTTGTTTCCGCCGCTGAGTAGAAGCCGCTGGAGTCGCTTTGATGTGAGGTTAAATGAGTACAGGCATGCTTTGGTGCTAAAAACTGAGTCATGGCCTGCTGTGGCCTCAGAATAAATGTATGCCGTAGTGTAAATACGCAGCACAGACGACACCTGATCTCCTTAGAGAGATTAGCAGTGGTGATCCAGCGTATCACATCTGTGCATCTCCACAGAAAATTGGTTTTGCTAGCAAGCAGAAAAAGTCATAATGGATAAAAAGGCCAGCACCTGCCCGGCCAGGTGGTGATAGCACGAATGCAAACAAAAAGATAGATTAAAGGAGCAGTCTAATCATTTACAAGATCGCTGTCTCGTGTGAATTCCTGTGTGCAGCCTCGGCCGCCATTAGAGCCGAAGCTCATGTGCTGGAGTTTTAACAATCTTCTGATTAATTCTCAAGCTGGACATGTGTTGAAATGTGGTTTGCGGAGGCCCCATGTGCACTCCAGTGGCGTTTTCATTCTTTCCGTCTGGCCTAACAACAATCCCACAGGAAAGCACGGACGTGGAGGGTTAAGACTGGAGGGAAAACTTAACACAATCGCCACAGAGTCCACGGGTAGGAACAAGAACGGGATTTTAGGTTGGACGTAGAAGCGTTTGGGACGTAAAGACGTGAAAAATTGTCAGTAATGAAATTAGGACAGCTGATCTTCGGCGTCCATTTGCAGTCACCGTTTCATTTTCATTTTTACCTTCATTGTTGAAATTAAAGATACATACAAAAAGATGAATTTACAATACGTGGATCATTACATATCTGGGTCAATCCATCTCAAGTCATCCAATTTTTAGAACAGTTTTGGCTCTAACTTCGCTTATTATAGGCATATTTTTCATTTTAAGACCTCGCTTTGTTGATGTTGAATAAATAAAATAAAAATCACAATAAATGTTGGCCATACAATCGTATTGGAAGCAATGGTTGGTGAAAATTGGGTTATACGGAAGTAGACTTGCAGCTAACCTTTACTTTCATCATCAGTTCATCTGATAATGTTTCTGATTTATTGTTTTGCCAACAAGATGTCAAAAAATATTCTTTTTTTGACCATCAGTGCAAAAACCAAAGATCACAAAGAAAACCAGCAAATTCCCAAATGTGAGGTTATAAATCCACCGTAAACCGACAAACAGAGCTCGATTTAATGCCCCAAACCAGCCGCTCTAAATGCAAAGCGTTGACATTAAATCTGAATGAGTTGCTGATGTTAGAATTGTGATTAAAATGGGACTAGTTCTGCAACCTGACTGTAAACTTGAATCACGGCTGTATGAAAAGCCCTGACCTCAGGCAGCATACGTGCAGCTTGTATGTGTGACTTGTCAACATGATGTGACGTTTGCGGCCGACACAAATAAGCAAAGTGAAAGTGTCACAAAGACAAAACGCTCTCACTGCTTCTTGGTTTTCTAAGTATTTATCAGTGCAGCAATATGATTGATTCATATTTCTATAACCAAGTCGGTCATCTCTGGTTGGATGAATGGAAGAGCAGCCAGTTTTTTAGTCTCAAATCTGACTGCTTTTCTTTAGCACGATGATGAAGAGCTTTGAGTTCTCAAGGACTTTCTATTCACCAAATCTTCATTGTTTCCTTTTATTTCATTCATGGCTCTCAGACCTTTTATACAAATGGTAATGACGATGTTAAAGTCTGACCAATCCCCCACATACAGCTGTGTTGTACAAAAACTGGTTGCTAATGACAGTGAGATGCCAGCAACCTTGGTCTTTCAGTTTTAATAAAAAAAATAAAACAAAACTGTTCTAGCATTTGTCAGTTTTACAATCCTGTAAGTCAATAGATTTCAGATCCTTGTGAAGTGGCCTCGTCTTCTACTTTTCTGCCACCAAATCAGCTTTTAAAGATCTTGAGCTGCCCGTGCTGTCCGCTGACGTCGCCTCATGGAGGGCCGCTCTGGTTTTACTTCAAACGGCATCGATTGTTTCAGTATCGACACCGAGCGGCCCTAAAGCGGCCGAAGTGTCACGCGTGTGGAGAAACATGCTGACTGCTTTCTTGCGCATTCTGATGACTCACATGTTTAGCTGCTTAGTTCTGTGCAGAGCTGCAACAAATTAGTTGTACCATCGATTATCTGCGTCATTGTTTGGCTTCTAAAACACTAACTGACCAAAAGTTGATCATAAGTTAGTCAAAATAGAGAAGCTCATTTGGTTTGCTATGTCGTTGATTTAATAATTGGTGTAACACTTTGTGCATTTCTGTTTTGAGACCCACTGTGGGAAATTTCTAGGATAATATGTGTTATTAACTTTAACAACTAATGACGTCCAGCAGGTGTGTTTTCTGAAAGTAGTGGACTGGGTTGCAGGTATGGAGTAAATGAGGACGCTGCTGGAAAGAACATTTAAATGTATTTTTCAATAATTGATCAATGACTTTAGCTCATCTAATAATTATTTTCATTGTCAATTCGACTGTTGATTATCCTTTAAAATGAATAAAATGTTTATCAGTCTTTTCCCCAAGCCCAAGATGACATCTAGCCCAAATATATTAACTTTACTCTCATACAAGAATAAAGAAATATTCAAATTTAACAAGCTGGAATCAGAGAATTTTGTCTTCATGCCACTGATGTCTTGGTCAAACTACAGCATCTCATTCAAAGCCTCAGATCGAATCAACAATGTGCTTAATAAAATGCCTTTCCCCCTGACCTGTTTGCAGTCTGCTTAATGATGCGTCTTAAAATGAACCAGATCTTGGCACCGAATTGAGTTTTCCGCAACATTTAGTGCGATTGATCACTTTTTTTCGTACTTGAAATGATCGTTGGAGCGGCCTTGGACGCCGGAAGCAGCTGAATTTATCGTATTGTTCTGCTGCGGCGTGTTGGCTGGTGCCCCCTGCACTCACAATCAGAGAGCATTGTTGTCTTTGTTGTTGTCACGTTAATTCGACTGAACAGTGGGATTACATTATTTTCATTTCCTCACACAAAGCAGGCAAATTTGCAGAGCGCATCTCACACAAAAGGCAATCTCAGAGCGCTTTACGGCAACGAGAACATGATCGTTTATTGATTTACGGATGCACCCTCGCTCGTTCGAGTGAGGACTCGTATCTCTGGGATTTTTCACTCACATTTCTGTGTCTTTCTGTCTTGCAGGAGAGGAGTGACGTCCTCCTCACCACAGCAGCTGCAGGGAGATTTTGTCACTTTAGTCCCTGTTGAACAAGCGATGAACTGAGGACCTCTTCCACTTCTCAGCCTCACACGTCTCTGCAGCGTCTCCTCTCCACTCGTGCTGCCCGTCGGTTAAGGACTCGACCGCGTCGCCTCAACGCACCTGGACAGAGAAATGCGTGTGCGCGCGTGTCCTCGGATGCATGACTGTGCCTGAGTGTTCCTGGGCTGCACTTCCTCTCTCGCCTTCCGAGAGGCGCTTCTCCACTTGACCGACTGCAACATTTGTCTTCGCAACTGCAAAGCATCATGGGTAGGAAAAAGATTCAGATCCAACGGATCACCGATGAAAGGAACAAGCAGGTGAGTCGCTATTAAGCAACAAACTGTTTCTGTTCGCTTCAAAACCTGCTGGCGACTTTGAAAGGCATGTTATCGTATTAAAAAATTGCCAAAATTACACCGTTTATCAGAGCCAGGAACTGTGAAAACAGAAAAAACTGTCTGACTTTCAACTTCCCATTGATAATATTTCATCAAAAGCACTTAACACACAAAACTATGAATCAATTAGCAACTCTGCTGCGACCAACAGCCAAACACGCAGACTTTTCAGCTGAACTGCAGGCTGTGTTTGCACCGAGCAGATCGGAGACAAGTAGGGAAACTAATTAAAAAATTATAAGATATCTGGAGTCTGTAGAGTCACAGGTTTCCCAGCAGCATTGCTAACACCTGTGGACACTTGGAAAAATGATGCACATGTTGATTCCAGGTTTTTTTGCTATTTTTGCAGACTAACTAATGATAATAATTTTATGACGTATGGCGCTCTAACTGCACAGAAGACACTTCTGAGTTCTCTCTACTTGTAGCCATGGTAATGCTGTTTCCATAGAGGTGCAGGACTTTATATTACAGTGGAAATTAAGCCCACAGTGAGTGAAAATGTTACAGGAGCAACACAAATGGACAGGAGCTATTACGGTTAATTATTTCAGTTGATCAACATGAAAGCTTTAAATGATACGACTGACGAGAAAATGAAAAATTGGCCTAAAATATCTTTTTTTTGTGTGTCTAGTTAAAATAATTTTAAAAATATATACACTATACACATACAGCTTTGGATTTTAAGAATTGTGGATTAAGAAATTTCTAACAAACCCTTTTTATTTTATCAAAACTAATCACAGCCTCTCAAACCTGTTATTCTTCATCGTCTCACAGAAGGCAGCGTCCTAACTGTTGTGGATATTTCCCTAAATTATCACAAGTACATCTAACATCTGAAATGCTGAATTACATAACAGGTTTTTTGGAAGTGAGAATCACAGTTTTGATGCTCAGCCACCTTCCTCGTTGATATTTTTAAAGCATGCAGCTGCAGCTCGGCGTCAGAGTCCAGAGTTCAGGTGTGATTTCAAAATAAAGGTCTCAGTTTTGTCACTCTTGGCGCTGGAGATGCTGTTCGTTAGTGCTGAGACTATTACATTACAATATCACATTTACAGCCAAGACAATAAACACTTGCTAAACAAAAGGCCGCTCCATCTCTGGGAGGATGTAGCAGAGCTGTTGGCCACTTCAGAGCTTCATCAGACTGATAATCGGCTCCGTTTTCTCCTCGTTGTCTCGGATTTGATCTGGTCAGCTTGTTTTTTCTTTGTCTTTTGTTTGCTTTTGCTTTAAAATCCCAGATTATCAGTGCGTGAAACTTCTTTTCCAGATGAAAAGAAGAAGCTCCCAAACACATTATTCTTAAGATAATTAAAAACAATGCGTTTAATGAAGACCAATAAACATCACATCTGTTCAGTAGCTGCTCTGTAGCTTTCGGTCATGAAACAGGATTTTCCTCCACAGATTAAGTTCGTCTTGAATTGAATTTGACTTGTAATGAGCGCTCCGAGGACTTCTCGCCCCTGTTTGCTTAAAAATTTAGATAGAATTGGTATTTTTACAAAAGCAAACAGTTTTCTCTGTGGGTAATTAATAGAGATAATGTTTCCATGGTGAATTAAAAACATCTGTACATACTGCATGTGTTTGTATCTGCATTGCAATTAAAGCAAATGCACCAATTAAACTTAAGTGTTTTGAAAACAGCGTATTAATTTTACTGACTGGCTCGGAGTCTAAAGTGCAGTTTATTAAGGAGTCAGGCTATTTGAGGTATTAGTGATTGCTGTTTTGTAATAACATTTTCAAATCAGGTTTATTGTCATTTTGCTGGACACACAGTAGTACAGGCAAGATGAGAGAGCGTTTCTTGAACGTTTGGGATGAGACACTAAACGTTCGCTGTCGCTGCCTCCTGAAAGGGGCGCTGCGTCCATGCACGCCGCCATTTGTTGAACATGGCGAACCTCTTCAGTTCCTGGTAGGTGGTGAGACGATGGTGAAGCTGCAGATGTTGCCCAGAGCTAGCTGTCTGTCTGCATCCCCTCCAGCTGTATGTCTGTCTGGGATGTTGTCATGGAGCCATGTTTCTGTTAAAGCAGACACACAGCAGTCCCTCCACTCTCTGTGGGTTTCTCTCAGCAAACGTCGCTCGTCCAGCTTGTTGTGGAGGGAGCGGACATTGGAGAGTAGGAGGACGGTCCTGCTGGTCTGGAGGGGTTAGCCTTTAGCCTAGCATGGATCCCGGCTCTCTTCCTCCTCCTTTGTTTACGTTCGTACCGCTTCCTTCTCTCTCGGGTAACTGCCGGCGTAGTCTCCGATCAGACTCTGTGTTGGTGTTGTATGTCCACATCACAACCGATCGACGCAATTCCAGCGCCGTTCACTGTCCTGACGCCCAGCAAAGTCTCCCAGCTGCAAGTTTTGCAGAATGAACGTCTGCATCAGACAAGGCACTCAAAACGTTCGCTGTCTCCTGAAGTGGAGTTTCCTCTTGTTTCAAACCAAAACATTGTGTTTTCCAGCAGTATGGTGTGAAAATCTGAAGTAAAAGACAGTTTACATCTTAGGCGCAGATCTAATGTCAGGGTTTTTTTATTTTCTAAAGCAACTGGTGAAAAAAAAAAGATGTTTGGTTATGAATAAGTTCAGCATGTGAAACAAGAAGAAACCAACAATCAACATACCATGTCAGTATGATACGGTATGTTGATTTTCTTCTTTTTTACAACCAGTTAGATGCTTTGTGAAGGTCTTACATCAGCCGTCTGGAAGACGTTCACACATCATTTATGGGAGTCAGATCATGACTGTGGCCCCTCTCAGCTCTGCTGTTGATCGGGCTCAGCGCCTGTGTCATTGTCCCACTCAAATATCCATCTGTAATGCACTGAAAGGTCTCAAGTACACCAAAGCACGCTGTCCCCCGAAATTTACTCGCTTTCAGCTCCATTTGCTGCGTCCTTCTTCTCTGCGTGTGGCCGACACCCCACTTCACAGCAACGATGGTGCCGGAGGAGTGATGAGTCTGACTTCTGCCAAACAAAGTGCTTCGATTATGTTTTCATCACACCACAGAATATTTTGCCTCATGTTCTCAGCCCTCCACGTGTTTTCTTTTTCTTTCTGGCAGCCTTCGAAGCGCAGTCAGCTTTTCCGTGACTTTCTTTTGGTCACTTTGCAGACAGTCCAGATTTGTAAAACGCTGCATTTGATTGTTTGGATGCACGATCACAAACAGGAGCTCAACATTTTCTCAGCTCGGTTGCATTGGTAGTTAAATTTAACCCATCGAGCCCCCCGAGCTGAGTGTTTGTTGCTCCTGTCGCATTTTTAAAAAATTGAAATATAAAATCCTGCACCGCTATGGAACAGAGAAAGAACTCAAAAATGTCCTCTGTGCTCTATGACAAACTTGATATGCCATAAACCATCATAAAAAGAAAAATAAAAGTTTAATTTATTCTCATCATTTTTTTTTTTAATTCAAAAACTTTAAATCAACGTGCACAACATTCTTCCAAGTGCCCACTGGGAAAACATAAGGGTTTTGCATATTAATTTACTACTTTTTTTTTTTTCTTTTTTTTTTAAATGTTCCTATTTTTGTGTCCGATCTGCTTTATGTAAACACAGCCTGCAGTTCAGCCCAGTTCAGCTTACAGGAGTCCAGAATTTTCCCTTTTTTACAGTGTCTGGTTCAAGCAAACCGTTTATTTTTTAGCAATTAAAAAAAAAAAAAAAGGAGTCGTAGAATAAAAAGATTTTGATAAAATATCAGAATGTCAAGTTTAGATTTGTTTCCTGACAGAGCGACGCATCAAAGATGAGCGGTTCAGGAAAGTTAAAATCTGGTTTTTACTGTTTCTGTTTCTGGCAAATGTTGTAAATTTGGCCGTTTATTTATTTTAATTTAATTAAATAAAAAAATAAATGAAATGTTTTTTCTTTCGTTTGATGCACAACTCTGACTTTAACCTCCACAGACAGAACTGAAAATGAACCCATACACATTCATAATTACTTTTTTGTGCCAAAGTGTTCGTCTGTAATTGGACTTGAATGTCATGTATGGATTCATTGGGCTTCACTCTCTGTCTTTCTAATATTGTATCTTCATTTTTAAGTCATTTAGTCCAATATGTATATTATATTGTGTGATCTTACCCCAAAAATTAAATATATGATCAATTTTAATGTTTATCTTATTTAGTTTCTATTACTTCTAAAGTTCTGATCTATTTGCTCTCCTACTTTTAGCTTTTTTTAATTGTTCAGGTGTAAGTTTGATGCAATGAAAGTGAGTCATCAGAGAATCGGAGCCAAAAATACCAACAAATAGCAAAATATAAGCATATAAAAAGCTGTATTAACAGAGAGAGCTATTGATTGGATGAAACAGAAAAGAGGAACTGTACATTGCTTAGAAACCAAAGAGTTTGAAGGTTATTATTTCATCGTGATAATAATAATGACTCATAAAGGACCACAAAAACAAGGATGCTTCAGTGTTGATGCTGAAAACTGACTCCACTGTGTTTCACTGACAGCTTTTTATTATTATTGTTGTTATTGTTGTTGCTGAAGAGCACCAAAAAAACACCTACAAAAAAAAAAAAACAGGCTTGTGTTGGTCTATTGTGTCTGCTATTGTTATCTAATGTGTCTGTCAGTTATGTGACTGCATATATTTTCTACATCACTAGGCAGCGGAAATCTTTTTCACAGGTCATCAGCTCCGTCTCTTTCTGAATTGTCAATTTCACTTTGATTTGTACGTCAAGACCTCTGGGCCTGGATGCTCCTGCTGTTGTATTTACATCAGCAGCTGTGTTTTACCGCTGAGAAGGAAACTCACAAGACGTCGTTTCCTTCGTCCTCGTCTCTCCTCCTGATCCTTCTCCTCCTTCTCGTTCTCTCTTAGGTGACATTTACAAAGCGAAAGTTTGGCTTGATGAAGAAAGCCTACGAGCTGAGTGTGTTGTGCGACTGCGAGATCGCCCTGATCATCTTCAACCACGCCAACAAGCTGTTCCAGTACGCCAGCACTGACATGGACAAGGTCCTGCTCAAATACACAGAGTACAACGAGCCGCACGAGAGCCGGACCAACGCAGACATTATCGAGGTAAGTTAGCGATTTTTTAAAGTTATTTTTGGGGGCTTTTTTTGTATAGGACAGTCGAGGGAGAGGCAGGAAAGTGGGGGAGAAGAATGGAGGAAGGACTTGCAGCAAAGGGCCACGAGCGGGATTCGAACCCCTGTAGCCCCTGTACATTGGTCGCCAACCAGTTGAGCTGCAGTGGGTGGCAACCCCTCAAATAGATTTTTAAAGAATCTGAAAACTTGTATTCCTCTTTTGCCTCTTTAACAAAAGTAAAACATATTGAAACATGTTTTAACATATTGAACGTTTAAGTCCAGGACCATTTAAGTAAAAACATCTGTGAAATAGCAGCGATATCAAACGTAGAGACGAAGGCACTGATGTTGGACAATCATCGGCTAAATTTGTTCATCGGACCGATACCGATATATCGGGAAAAACAATATTGGCCGATACCGATGTGGTCGCTGATATATCGTGCATCCCTACTGGGCAGCATTCCTAAGAAGTTTGCATTTGATGTGACAACCTAAACAAGAGTGAAATGTGACTGTTGCACGAATGCAGTCATCCTAGAAAGTCCTTCAAATCTCACCTTAGTCTGATCACATGTAACCGAATCACAAGGGCGGCTGATGCGTCGCAGAATTTTTCAAAAACAATCATAATTAATGAAAACACTGTCTCAGCGTTTGACGCTCTGATCAAAGGTGCTATAAATACTTCTCATCAAACGATGACGTCTGCTTTTCTTGCTGCTAAATTTACTTGGAACCTTTTAAATGAAGATAAATAAAATATGGAGCAACTCATGAGTCACGCTGTGAGGCAGCATCCGTGAAGGACCCGGTTTTCTGTCTTTGTCCTGGTCCTTCACATATTGCGTGGTGTGTATCTTTAAGAGTACACTACCTGCTTTCATTTTCACTCTTCTGTTCACAGACTTTGAGAAAGAAAGGATTCAACGGCTGCGACAGTCCAGAGCCGGACGGCGAAGACTCGATTGACCAAAGTCCACTTAACGATGACAAGTATCGTAAGACCACAGAGGACCTGGATGTTCTCTTCAAACGCTACGGAGTAAGTTTTTTTGTTTTTTTTTAAACCTGACATTTATTGTTCTCATATTTCAGTATTTTCTTGTTACAGTTTGTTCTGCTTCTCTTTTGACTTGTCGGTCAAACGTTGGTCTGTTGTTCTGTTTTGCGTTAAGTCCCTACAGGAAACTGCTGCAAGTTTGAAGTTCCTCTAACTAGTTGTTTCACACTTTTTTTTTTTTCCACTTGGACCTTTTAAAACCACCAGATACGTGCTGATCTTCATAGGAGATATCAGCTATATTAGGAGTTATTTAGCTAATGTTACATCCTGCTGTAGAGGTGAATTTTTAAGGAGGTGGTTCATCATTTTAAAGTCAGTCTAGCTCCAAGCCTGCTCAGAGGTGGTTCCGCAGACTGTCTGTAACTAGACGTTAATTCATTGTGCATCCAAATAGGGACTGCAGTAATACATTTAAATGGTGGATCTGGCTTTTGTATTAAGTGCCTTCAAGTCAAAGTCCTCACAGACAAGTCTCATCACTCAGGGGTCATGTTGGTGATGCTAGTGTTCACTTATTTTAGGCTAACAAGATCAGGCTCCTGTTTACATTAATGGAGAGAGAGCTGCAGCTGTATGCATAGAATCGCCAGCAAATCTGATAAAAATAATGCTTAAAAAGTTTGCATGCATGTCTACAGAGTCACAGCACCACTCTTGAGTCAATGCAACTCTCATATCTTTGCAGAATTGAGGCTGATTTACGCGTTTTTGGCTTTAACACGTTGATAAAGGCCTAAAAAAAAATCTGTTGGGTTCTGAGTACTTAACCCTCCTATTAGCTCTGTCAATGTTTCAAGGTTTAACATCTCTAAATAAGTCACTGACATCATTCTTTCAGTTTTATTTAAAGGAAAATTTTAAATCCGATATTTTCTGGAGGTTTAAATTGCTGGGATCAAATGGAACCCAAGAATAAAAGATGTCAGTAAATTTGAAGGTAACAAGAGGGTTAAGCAGTGAAATATAAGGTAACACTTTATCAGTTGATAATAACTAATATCCCACGATGTGTTTCCTATAGTAGTATCACAGTGAAATTACATTTAATATGGGGCGCCCCTAGTTGAGCGGGCGACCCATAAACAAAGGCTGTGGTCGTGGGTTCGACTCCCGCTCATGACTCCTTGCTGCAGTTCTCTCCCCATTCTCCCCATCCGTATCAAATCAAGTTTCTTGTCATTTTGCTGTACATACACAGTAGTACAGGCGAGATGAGAGAGCGTTTCTTCACAATCCAGTAACTTAAAACAATTTAAATAAAGAAGTGTTTGCACACCTGGATCAGCAGTTCAGCATTCTGACAGCTTGTGGAGTGAAGCTGTCGATCATTCTGGAGGTTCTTTCCTGTCCATCTCTACTGCTCTAAATAAATTCAAAAGCCCAAAATATATTTTTAAAAAAACAAAAACAAATTACATTTAATATTTCTTATTTTGCAATTAATGCTGTGAGACAGTCTGCCAGCTATTACAACTTACACATTGATGGGTCTAACTACAAGTAAAGGACAATAATGAAAAAAAATATTACTGTAAGCTATAGAAGTATAAGACAACAGGACATATTTGGGTATTTTCCTGCGTAGCGCGGCAACTCGCACGCTGAGGACTAACGGTGAAATCGTGTGAACTTTGCAGCAGTCGGCAGCTCCGCCCCAGACCTTCTCCATGCCAGTCACAGTCCAGGCGTCCAATCAAAGCACACTGCAATTCAGTAATCCTGGCAACGCGCTGGTAACTACCTCCTACGTAACATCGTCGTCGCTCACGGATACCCACCTCCTGTCGCCACAGCAACCGGCTCTTCAGAGAAATACGGTGTCTCCCGGGTTGCCACAGCGACCAGCCAGTGCAGGTGAGGGGCTGATCTTCTGCTGAGCGCGACGCCGCCAAAGTCATCTGCAGACTAATAAAAAAAAAAAAAAAAAAAAAGAACCAGCAGGGACAAACTGTAAACGATCCTCAGCGCAGAAATTTCTTTGTCTTTTTACTTTTAACTCCTCTTTTCAACCCCAAGGACGTGATTATGTTGTTGTTATCTTATACAGCGCTGTTAGATAATCAGACTTCAGGAGCTACTGTATGTATGGAGCTCCATATAATTATGCATAATAGTCTGATTAATTCCTCAGGCGGTGGAGCATGCTCTCTCCTCTGGACTCATTTGCTCAGTGTGACATTTGCTGCACTCTTAATACAACTTGGATGTTTTTACTCTGGTGTTACGTTTTTCTTATTAGCGTTTGCCTGTAGGAGCTAAATAATAAGGATGGAAGAAGAGTAGTATTACAAGGTTTATGTGTCACATACAGTTTGTGTTGTGATATACTCCTGATATTCTACCCAACAGGCTGGTGTGCAGTAAAAAAGCATAATTAGAAAAACAGCAAACAGGAAAAGGAAAAGAAAAAAAAAAAACAAAACAGAAAAATCCAAGCCGGCAGCCTCACTTTTACCAGAATATAGAAAATGTAAATGTGCATTTTAAACATATTTAAGGGAGATAATTTATGGTAAAACATGTATTATTTGGCAATGAAAGGTAATTATCTCACATTAATTTATGTTTTGTTTTGTTTTTTTAAAATTAAGTTTAAGTAAGTGAAGAACAATAGAAAATATGACGATTACATGTTAGTATATTTCAGAAAATGTGAACGCTTCTGAAGCTCTAACACCATTTCTGTTTATTCTTTCATCAATAGGTGCTCTTCTCGGAGGCGATCTGAATAATTCAAATGGAGGATGTCCAAGTCCAGTCCGTGAGTAGTGTTAATATTTGTTCAAATCCTGAGTAGTTTTATCCTTTTGGTTATTTCTTCTATTTCCCTGCCAAGTGTTCTTCTGTTATCTGATCGCTATCCCAGTGTTTATTCCTCTTCTCCTCCTCTGCACCGTCTGTGATTGTACTTTAGAGAGATCAGGGGATACCACAAGCAACACCAACGGAAAATGCAGAAATGGGATTCCCGGCTTTTTTTTTCTCTCTCTAACATGTAGTCAGCCATAAAGACCGCTGTTCAACAGTTGTCGCTTTATTTTTCTCAGTTGTTTATTTTAGGTGTTGGCGCAGGAGAATGGATAACACTTTACAATAAGGGACGGACCATCTTGAGGCGTTACCAAAGAACAAATGAGGACACAAAGAGGGAAACTAACGGACAGTAATTATTCTGTAGCAGCCCAGTAGCTTTAGCTTTACTTGAAGGGATGCAAAAGACTAATCCATCACAAGATAATGAAGTGACTCCTGAGTACAGTCGTGACTCAATAATCCGACGCTAAATGTAAAACCTTCTTTTATGTCGAATAGCAAGGCTGTCGGATTGTCAGGACGGAGGTCGAGATACAAGGAGTGCTTGATGCTGGAAGGCTCATTTGTTGTTAATATTTATTATTTATAGTTGTTATAATAACTAGTAGGGCTGGTCCCAATAGCACTTTCTGGTCTCTGGATATTCAAGCCCAATTAATGATGGATATTCTGCGCAGTCAGGGGCCACATCCACCCCTGGGCAGAGCTCTGATGGGGTGGAAGTGGCCGGAACGCACAGGCAGTACTTAGCTGCTGATGCTAGTTTAGTTAGCGGTCACACTTCTGTTTCCACCATTGACGGCGGGGAGTGGCAGATACGCTCCACCGTTACCATCCTTGATTACTTCTGCTGCGTGTGACGTCGTTGTGTCCTCTTCTGTGCATGCTCACTTTTGGGTCGTATGAAGTTCACACAGCAGATCACATACAAGTCGCATTTAATTGGAAATCTGAACGAACTCATAAAAAAATCAGATTGCACAAAAAAATCCAAATTGAGCATCAAGTCCTGCAGTGTGAACGTAGATTGTTCAGTCAGATAATACGCCGTTATCCTGATTGGTGACATAAAATGTCATGTCGGAGTCAGAATCCAAGGCTGTCGCTACGTTAAGGATATTTTTATGGGTTCCATTTGTTTTTCCTAAAAACCTGTCGGATAGCAAGGTTTGGGATTGTTAAGGGTCGGATTGTCGAGTCACGACTGTATCTAGTCAGTATCACGGATCACTGTTTGGGGTGCAGAAAAACAACAACTCATGTTTAACCCTCTGATCAGTTCCTGCTCCTGTTACATTTTTATTCCCTGTGAGCTCATGTTTCACTGCAGTATAAACTCCGATACAAACTGACTTTGCATACTGTAGAGATTTTACTACTTGTATGTAAATATTCCAGTTTGTTTTGATCCTGTCTGCTCTTTGGATAGTCTACAGTTCAATTCAGCGGAAAAGGTTGCAGCCGAGTCACTAACAGCTGCAATGGACAGATTATTTAGGGTTTTTTTTTACAGAATGTGTTTCACGCATATTGTCTGTTTTTGGCAAATTTTCAAAATAAGACACACAAAATGAAGTGATTTTGATTGAATACAATAATTTTATGCTTCGATTTGGTTCCGTTTTTTGATTAAATGTAGTTTAGGGCCATTAAAAAGTTCAAAATACAACAATTCTTTCTGTTTTTACAGTTTCAGATGCTGTTGTTTTGGCGATTTTTAAGACATTTCTGTCAAAAATGCTGCTTCAGGGGGTTAACTAGCAGTCAGTTCCTCATTCTTTCCTCATTTGTATCTCGGTAACTATGGCGTGTCTGTTAAAAAAATGTCCCTCCAGAGTCATATTTATGGTTTTTGGAGCACATGTTGATATCACAAAGAAGACACTGTGTAAGGTTTTAATAGTGGGGATAAATCTGTCCTGGCATTAATGTACTTCACGTGATATTTGCTTTTACAAAGACGTTTATTCTGCCGGCGTCTTGGAATTATCGCCTCAGAAAAGAATAACAGTTTGAAAAAGGAGCCGTTGGAGGATTATGCAGCAGGACTCAGAGGGCGCACACTGACCGTATCCCACTGTCTGCATTCACCTGTTTGATTTTCTTATTGATTTCTGTCCATTCGCACCTCCGTCTCCCTGCAGCTAATGGATACACCAGTGCCAGGGCCTCCCCAGGCCTCCTCACTGTTTCCAACGGCAACAGTCTGGGGAAAGTAGTTCCGGCCAAGTCTCCACCTCCACCTCCGAGCCCCCAGATGGTCAACAGCCGCAAGCCAGACCTCCGAGTCATCACCTCACAGGGCGGAAAGAGCCTCATGCAGATGGTGAGCTTAACTGAGCCGAACTCGGGTTGTCGGGGTCCATTTAGTTAACGTTTTGATCCTCTAAAGAGCGGACGAGAAGGAAGGTAAAGACGGACCTGAATCCTCACTCAGATTATTTTCCTTTTATCTCAGGAAAGTTTCCCTTCACTGGCCAATGATGAGATGGAAAATTATACAAAAACACTGGGACTTTATGTTGTTCTACTGAATGAAACTCAAGAATCATATAGAGTTTAACAGTCTGTTAGAGGGCTGTTAGCCATTACTGTTGTGTTTCCTCTCAAGACCCGAGGCAGAGATTTGTGCTAAACACTCGAAGCCTAACGTCTCATTATTTACTCTGGCAGAGTTCGTAAAGTCTCGATGAATCAGCCGACTCCCACTGACATGCTGATAGGACTTCTCAGAACTTGGTGAACTAAGCGTGCACCCACCTTTCTTGTAGCCATGTTTGACAGCGTACGCTAACCACCAACAGCTGTACGTCAGCACAGCGTTGTTTTACTCAGACTGAAAGTTCATTCCAACCTCAGTGTGCTGTTTTGGAGCTTCCACTCACATCCCACAGTCTTTCTCAGCATGTAATCGTATATTTTAATATTTAAAGCTGCTGATTTTTAAAACACAAAAGCTAATCGTGCTTTACTGTTTGAAAAATCTAAAAAATACAGTCCCTGCACCACATACTTTCTGTTGCAGCATCTAACTAAACAGGAAGGGCCTCACATGGCTCAGACAGGATGATTATAATCCTGACAAGTTTGAGAGAGTTAGAGAAAGTCAGAGAAATGATCAGTAGCTGCTGTCAGTCTCAAGAACAGAGTAGTGATGCGTTTGGTTCCATGATCTTCTCTTCTGTCCACGTAAGATTGTTTAGATCCTCGATTTCTCTTCCTACTATTTATCTGGGTCTCACTTAATGTGGTGCAAATTTAAAGTTACATGACCATTTTTTTTTCTCACTTATTTATTGTTGGAGTTTCATTGTTCACATCTCTGTCATCAGCTGTTGTTGTTGTCTTTGATAGAGTTTATTACTGGCGCATGTCATAAGTAAGCGGTTAAAAAAAAAAAACATACAACAGCTTTCCAGCCAGTCAGAATCGTTGGTGTAACGGTGGATAATGTGATCGTGCTGTGTTTATAGTTTGCCGATCTGCCCCTAAACGGCTAAAACATCCATTAAATTGCAGGTTTGTTGACTTCTTGTCCATATTGGCTGATAAATCGATGTTAAACGTTCATTAGTAACTGCTGAGGAAGCTCCAGAACAGCTACAGTAAACAGTGGAAGTAATGGCCCCACACGCTCCATAATCAGCCTGCATTGAATTATTTCATTATAAATGTTCCAAAACAAGCCAACTATGAGGTAGCTGCCCAACTACAGTAAGTGGTATAATTATTGTTTTTATTTTCTTACTCTATTTACCTTTTGGTTACGTCTATGAGTCGGAGTTATAACCCTCTCTGTTACCACCCTTTGCAGACAGAGGATGAGCTGGAATTGGTAAACGAGGTGATTTCCCCCACGTCAGTCACTCGCATGAATCGATGGCCAGTCGACTGTCCGCACATTGTTAGCATGGACACAGGACTGGACCGTAGACTTTCTCATTGTTTTGGTCTTGCTCCACTGACATTTCTTGAGATTGGTCTTCAGTTTGTGGTTCCCACCTGACTGCATGCGGTTCAGGGCCTCATGGGTGTGTTGTTCCGGCATTTTCTGTAGGATCATGGACCCACTCAGCGACAAATCCAGACATTTCTAAGTGGTTCAGAAAACCTCCACACATCAGTCAGTCCTGCAGTGATTCCTGTCAGATTCGAACCAGGCCCATTTATGTGATCATACGATGCCGCTTGAAGCATGGGCGTCTTCTCACGTGTGGGGCGAAGCGCCGCCGCAGAGCATGTTTCCCCCGTTCACTGACACCCATGCCAACTCATCTCCACCTTCACCCGAAAACCTGTCAATTAGAGATGTTTAATAACTAACTGGGATTACATTAAAGGCATTTCACTCAACTGTTTCCCTCAGCCACACCTTGATATTTACATTTAATATGTCATAACCTACTAATTTTTTAAATGCTTGTCAATTAATCTGCATCTTTTTTAATTTAATGATCCTAGAATAAGCTGAATCTTTTATTCTGTAAGATCAAAAACAAGCAACTGTTTTCTCTGAATTCCCAGATGAAGTAATTATTTGATTATCATTACTTGTCGTCCTATAAATAACACTTTCATAATATATTTAGGATACAGAAGTAAAATTATTATTGAGTGGTTTGTAAAAAAAGATAAAACCTATCTCGGTGATCAAGAGAGCTTCCTATCCTGTAAAATCTCATTTTAATTTAGGCTGGATTTACTCAGAGAAAGAGGAGGACGGTCGCTGCTTTCTGCTGCTGGTGGCGGTTGTCGTTTCCCCTCTTTTACAATTCCACTCAAAGTTGACAGGCAAGATTCTCATTTTCCAGAGGATAGTGATTAATTTTCATCACTCTCGCCCCGCCGCTCCTCCTCACTTCTTCACAAAGGCAGATAATTGAATCTGGCTCCTCTCCGCTCTGCCTCTTCTCTCCCTCTCTCTGTAAATTCAGCTTTACAGTCATAACTCTGGCTGAATGTTTCCTCTCAGGATGATCAGCCTCACAGCACAGAGGAATAATTCAGACCAGAATTACTGCATCTTTGGCCTTTTATATGCAGACCTTTTATTATTTTTTTTCTCTCTTTCTCTCTCTCACAAAGAGCTTCAGTTTGCTTTTATCTGTGATGTAATTCAGCTGAAGCAGACTCTGGAGGGTTGTGCTTCTTCACAGGTGCACAATAATAAACGGCAGCAGCAGTTTCACAGATGTAGCAGGAGTTCTGTTGCACCTGTGTTGGAGAATATCTTGTCATGTAAAGGCTTGACTCGGTGTACAAACACTCACTTGTTAGCCTCCTATAAGAGCGAATGATCAGGACATGGAAAGTTTGCTTTGCTGCGGCGGAGTGCACTCGAGGAATGTGAGGCCTTTACTGACATCCACTGGAGGGTCATGAGATGAGCTGCGAGAGTCTCCTTGAAGGATGGCACAGTTGTAATTTACTGTGGAGAGAGTGGAGGGTTTATTCTGAAAAGTGAGACCACAATGACTGTTTATATCATTTTTTTAAAAAAAGAAAAAACCCTGAAACTGCTCTGTGAATGTAAATATTTGTGGAGTTTTGTTGACTTTTATGATGTCAAACTAAAAATCTTTACATTCTAAACTCTTGGTCAGAATTAGAAGTAAAGGTTGGACACATTTAGCATCTTTACAAGCCAGATATTACATTGATTGATCCAGAAGAAATGTAAAATAGACACGAAAATAGTGAGCACACAGGGTTATATAGCTGCTCGTATTATGGGTCGACCAATGGGGTTTTTCAGGGCCAATATCGAAACCGATTATTTGTAATCAATGAAACCAGTAACTGATATACATTTGTTGAAAAAATGAAACTCTTGGTGTCAGAATTTGCAATAGCATCACCTCCACTGAGTATCCAATCAGGTAGTTCTGTAGACTAAAGATAAAGTCAATTAGTACATTTTTAAATGAATATATTTTGTTGGGAATTGACGAATTAAAAAAAAACGACACTGATAATCAGAAAAATGTTCTGTTTTAATAATTAGCCAACCTCTAGTTTAAATTAGATATAGCTTAAGGTGAAATTATCCTAGTATTTGTAATATTGTGACCTGAGTCTATTTAATTTTGCTTTTTAAAATGTAAAACAGTTTGTAAAGAGGTAAGTATAGATATAATCTAGAAATGCAGAAGAGCTGATGAGACCCTTTATGGGGAATTTAAATAAATATATTTTAGCATGACAAGTAAAATTAGACAATATTGGATTTAGTTTTGCACAAAGGCACAATCAGGGTTTCCTCTTGTTACTCAACCAGTACTTGTATGTAGTTGTTGAGGTGTTTTGATTTTAGTGTCAAACATTTTTAGAGGTAAATAGTAAAAGTTCTCTGATGTGAACGGATGCAGCTTTTTACACTAATCCTAAATTACAACTGAGGGTTGAATAAATTGCCTTTAATGTAATTTTATATATGGCTCACTCAAAACAAGGAAGCTGTTTTTGATGCATGTCATCAAGAACGTCCTGATAGTAAATCCACTCCCGACTGATTTACTTGGTCCGTCATTCAGAATCCAGCCATGAACACATCGTCATTCCCAGCATGTCCAAACGTACATTATCGAAGTAAGTCTCGGCTCACGTGTGAACGCCGGCTCCCCGTGTCCGCCGTGGATAACATGTTGTGGTCTTCTCTGGCAGAACGCCCAGCGGCTGGCAGCTGGAGCCCAGGTGGCGCAAACCCTCACCACACCGGTGGTCTCTGTCGCCACACCGAGCCTCCTGGCGCAGGGGCTGCCCTTCTCCGCCATGCCCACGGCGTATAACACAGGTGAGCTACACACAAGGACTCAACAATATCCTCGTAGCAACGCCTGATTCTTACACCACAAGATACAGTCTCCTACCTTTTGTTGATCTGTTAAACCACATCCTGACAGCACTAGTAATTAAACATAAAATACAGGACTTTATTGTGATTGTACGATTTCTCCTCCTTTAGAGTACCAGCTGACCAGCGCAGACATCACTGCTTTACACGCTCTGGCGTCACCTGGCGGCTTGTTGCCCACCAGTGTGTCCACATGGCAACAGCAGCAGGCTGTTACCCAGCAACCGCAACAGCAACCACAGCAGCAGCAGCAACAGCAGCAAACACAGCAACAGCAGCAGCAGCAGCAACTTAATCTCGCGTCACTCAGCAACTTGGTGTAAGTATTTCCTCCGCTTTCCCACCGGCGCTGCGTTTTTCCTTCAATCCTGCTCTCACGTCCGACGCGGGGGGACGCCGGTGGAGGTATTTCTGGTGAACAGCCTTGTGTAGCAACAGCTCTCCGTCTGCTGATAACCTCCTTAACGCTGAACTACTGACCTTCCCAGGCAGCTTGCATGATATCCATACCATGACCTTATATGCAAGCAGTTCACATCCTTTATTTATTTATTTTTTTTAGTGAACTGGTTTCTCACCAGCATCTCACCATCTCAGCCTTTTCATAACATCAATCTATTCAGTTTGCTCTGGCGTAGCAGGGGTTTATTGTGTCAGAGAGAATATAGTAGAAGTCGTAGATGAACTACACAAATAAAACATTTTTATCACCCACAAGGCTCCCTGTCGGCTACAACTGAGATGGATCACGTACACTACGGCTGTATCTGACCAGATTCTCATTGTTTAGTTGCTGATGGACTTTCAAGAGGAGAAAAGCGTGACATCAATACTGTTCTAGGATTAATCAATTGGATAGATAGATAGATAGATAGATAGATAGATAGATAGATAGATAGATAGATAGATAGATAGATAGATAGATAGATAGATAGGGGAAATTTGGTTGTTACGGCACAAAAATAAATTGCCACCACCATAAATGCAGATTAATAGGCAAAAATAAACGATGACAAAATATAAAATGCAAAATGTACAATAAGTGTATTATGTCAAGTAGAAAAGTCTCCTCTGTGTTACATTTATCAATAGCTCTCGTGTTAAAATCTCATGGTTTTATCTTTGTAAGTATCCAATAACTCAGTCAAAATGATTTCATATGTTGAGAATATTTAATTTTTATGTTTAGAATTCATTTATGCTACTGAGGCTAGCAGGTAGAGTGCGCTCAGTGTTTTGTGGCCACTTTAGTTTATCTAGACCAGCACCAATCGATGGTATGTACGATTCGGTGCTGGTCTCCGGCCCCAGAACACTCAGCTGTTGTGGAAACACTTCTGATCATCAGGTGGCTCGGTCGGCTTAAAAGACGGTACTTTTCCTGTCCCGGCGTTCCCTGTACTGGGAGTCATGCTCCCGTCGATGGCTGCAGCCCGCTGAATGAGGAGCTTTGTTTGTCCTTGTCGTTGCCACTTACCCTCAGCTATGCTACCAAACAAATAATCAAAGAAATGCTCGCTATTGCCCCCGAAACGTTATTAAGAGGCAGCTTACAGCCGCACAGCAAATTACACACATTCTTTATACTGAAAGGTCGTTACAGGAAGCATGTTGCACACGCACAGACAGCGAAACTTACGTCTTTGGTCTTATTTAAAGGATAAATACTGCGAAATGTGATTTTCAGCTTCAATTTGACAGTATTTTCTGTGCAAGTTTGACCTTTTTTAGCACTAAATCCCCTGTTTTTATGAATAACCTTGCATTGCAACTGAAGAGGGAAACAAAAAGGACATTTTATAATTTATCATATAATAGATTTTGTCCTCCATCATTTGCTGCATAGGAAGGAATCTTGTAATGGTCAGAGTGAGCCAGATAAATTATTACAACAAGCATAAAGACTTTGCATGCACATAAATAGTGTTTTAAAACAGGTATAAAGAAATGTGAACCAAATGTAAAGCTAGGTAGCACCTAAAGTACAGTCTGTGTGTCGCTATGTCTTGTTGTAATTCTAGGAAATTCAGTAAAGTGAAGCACCTAAAAGATCCTAAAAGAGAAGTCCGGTTGCTTTTTTACTGAAGCTCCTTTATGACTAGTCATCTACAGACATGTCTTATTGTAATGAAAATAAAATGTACAGATATGCATCCTTAAAGACGACCATGAGGGCATTTAGTTGGAATTAAAACCTAAAGGAGGGAAATCTTCTGCCAGTGAAGTGCAAAAATTGTTTTATTTGACATTAATGCACATCAGCGTGTTTCTTCTTTCTAGAAAAGAAAGCAAATGCAACCTGATTTGTGGAGATTCTTATTAAACTTAAGCAGATGTTTTCATTGTTTTCTCCCTCTGCATCGAGATTCAATAAAGAAGAACATCAGAGAAGAAGCGTCTGTATTAGATTAGCACTTATTTATAAAAAATAAAAAAATGCAGTGACATTATAGCAGTGTGTCTGAGCTGAGCGCTGCAGGGTTCGGGTTGTGGGGGGGATTTGGTAGCATGAACACCAGATCCTTGAAGTGTGTTCTCTCCTCTCGTCCACAGCATGTGGGGCGTGGACAAACAGAGCAGCGAGCTGTCTAGCCAGGTGTCCAGCCTGGCTGCCAATCTGAGGTGAACAGCCACGACTAGTGTGTGCGTGTGTGGAGTGTCATGACCTTGTCTGTAGGGGGGGTTTGTAGTCCACGTCACAGCCGAAGGGGTTCTGTCCAAACCGTGTGTTTGACTCACAACTAAATGAACTCTCTGAAGCCATTTTTAATTTTGTAAACAAAGACCAGAAGAGTGTAGCTAGTCAGTAGCTGGGAGAGATTGCTGCAGCTTTTTTCATTAAAAAAAAAAAAAAACTATTTGCAGGTTAGACGTGCCACTCGATCAGACAAATGACAGTTTTATTTTTATATAACATCAGGATTGTAGATTAAACTTTTATTGTAACTTTAGATGCAAATAACTGATGCAGTCACAAAGCAGTTTACTTACTTTTATCAGTAATATTCTATGATGCCATAACTTCAAAATATAAAACTGCTACTGGGCGGCTTCTTGCAATGAACAAACCGTTGAATTACCATAAATCGCTACAACATGATAGATAATTGAATTTAGCTGGCAGAAAGTTAACACAGCAAAGGATGTTCAAGCTTTTTTGTGGAGGTTTCAAGAATTTTCCTATAATGTTTTGTTGTTATAAAATAATTGGCTCTAAGTAATCAAATAGTAGATTCCCCTATTTTCTTCTCTTTTTTTAAATGTTGCAGCCCCGTAACATACACGAATACGGTGGCCTCTAAGAGCCAAAAATATGCTGCAAATGCCAAAATTCCAATACAAAAGGCACAAACATTGAAAGTGTGCACTTAAAAAAATATAAACACCAGAATGCAAACCACAGGATTTGCATGATTTTAGTGTTTTACAGCCTAGATGTTCACTCTCGTCTGCATTTTTGTCCTTAAAGGCCACCATACTCAACATGCTGCAGTCAGAAAACAAGCCTCACTGTCCTGATGAACACGTTTGTTCCTGTGTAGAAGCTGCGCTCACTGTTTGTTAGTAGATCAGAAAACGAGAAAGATTTTCATGTCTGGATGTGAATGTGTGCTGGAAACAAAAACATTGTGATGCTTAGACATGATGAACATTATTGCTGTTGTTATTTTAAAAAAGAAAAGAAAAAAACGTGCCCGCAATAATGTTTCACACCTTTCTCCACACATGCCTTCTAATCCACCTGTTCCCTTTGGTTTGGGCTCCAACGTTTTGTTTTCTTCCCACAGTGTTGGCTCTCCGTCCAACCTGCTCTTGGGTAGAGATGAGTGGTTGGGCCGGTACTGTATCACACTTCCTTTTTCCTGTGTGTCTGTGCGCTTCTGGCTGCCTCCCTCTAAAGCATGTCTGGTGCCGTCTGCAGTCAAACAGGAAAGAGACGTAGTTCCGGTTTCCGCCATGTTCTCTAACCCGAGATTATTCTTTCTGTTTGTCATTCTGTAGTTACTTCACATCACAGCTGACTCACTGCAAACAAAAAAAACAAAAAAATACACAACCCACCCTGTCACACCAATCATTTCACGCTTCCTCGGCTGTTCTGTTGGTCTTTTGGGAGCAGTTGTCTGGGTGTTACTTCTGCTTTTAAAAGGCTCAGAATTGATTGTCTTACCGATGAATCGAGTGTCGCTTCTCCCTGTCAGTGCTGTGCTTCGTAATGTGGGTTTCTGTCTTAACGCCGGTGGCCTTCCAGTTTGTTCATTCGCCGTGTGTCGCCTCGTGGCTAACCATGTGGTTTTTGTTTCTACGCTCTTCCTCTTTGTTCTGCCCCTTATCTTCCTTCCGTTTTCTTTCCCGTCTCTGTGACCCCGTTCTCAGGCCGGTGACCCACATATCTCAAGGCGCCATGCTGACCGTCAACACCAACTCCAGCGTGAGCATCAAGTCGGAGCCCGTCTCCCCCGGCCGGGACCGCAGCACCCCCTGCCCTCCTCCGTCTTCTAGCACGCCGTCCTCGACCTCAGGCGGAGCCATCCTGACCGCTCCGCCCCAGTACCCCGGCTCGCTGCTGTGCCTGGAGCCTCCGACTGGCCGCTCGCCGGCGGACAGCGTGAGCAGCAACGCCAGCTCCTTTGAAGGCAGCGACCGCGACGACGCAGCCGGCGGTGGCGGTGGAGGCGGAGGTGGCGGCAGCACGGCCGGCGCCACGGGTCCCGCCAGCCGGTCTGTGCCGCCCGACTTCAGCCCGTCGGCCGAGCTCCTCAGGGCATCGAACGAACCAGAGCAGGAAGGAGGGAACATCAAGCGCATGAGATTGGACGCCTGGGTCACATAGAGGCACCGGCGGCGGCGGCGGCAGCTCTCTGCACCCACAGTGAAGTTCTGGTGACTCGTAAACACCCACAACAACAACAACAACAACACACACATCCACACTCATCCTTAGTCCCCCACTGCCCCCGACCCCACCGCCATGTAACACTATCACCACACATCTGCCTCTGTCCAGATCATACGACTCAGCTGCGTCACCCAGACTTACGAGGCTTTGCCAAAAAAACCACAAAAAAACAACACAAACAGAAACATCCGACCCTTTGGGGTCTCAATCTGAGTGAAAGAAGGACGCGGTAGATTTTTAAAGCCTTCTTGCTCAATCAAACTTCCGTATAGTTAAAAAAAAAAAGAGGTGTTCAGCCTTTTTTTTTTTCTCTCCCATTGTTTCACCTTCATGTATTTACATCGAAGCTCTTACGTCGTTCACACATGTGAGCGGTGGCGTGTCGAGGACTCGTGCCGCCACTCTTTGCTCTTCAGAACCTATTTAGATCGTGTGCTGTCCAGTCTTCTACTTCCAAACTGCACAATTGGAAACTAACTTCATCGGGACAAAGTGTGAGGACCGAGCGTCTACCAGGCACTAACCAGACTCTCACAGGGTCTCTCTAGGACACTTCTGCGTCGGTGGATCTCTCTGGTTACCCCAACCTCATGCAACCAGGCAGGCCCGAGCCCTCAGGCGGCACTCTGCGGGCCGTGGAGTCGAGCACCTTTTCGCCAGAGTGCCAATATCAACTTCTTCAGAGTAAAAAATGCCAAATGCCCTCTCGCACGCGGTGCAGGGACATCTTATCACTCGCACTGTCAAGGAAACACTGAGAACTAGAAACTGCTTTTTCCGAGCTCCGCATTGGCCGTCGCTTTCACAGACTGGGTGCTCCTCCCGTCCTCTCACCTCATCTCCTCTGGAACTCGGATGGAAAATCGTTGCACCAGAAATCCAGCCAGTCACTCAGCTTATTACCAGGAGTAGATGCCATCCAGTTAAAAATGCATAGTAGTTTTATGAGCCTCTGGTGGCTTTTTTATTTCCTTTTCTTTTTTTTGAGTAGGGAAGTATTTGGTTCTTTCAGTCCAAGTGTTCTTTATCTGTTGGTATTTTGAAAAAAAAAAAAAAAAAGTCTGTTTTGAAGGTCCTTTAGTCGTCCAGAAGTAGGAATTCTGACTTTGTATAAAAATCACTCCTTATACAAAAGCTTTGATGTCCTCTTTAGCTCTCTATAGCTCTCCTTAGCTCTTTGCCGTGTTTCGAAAAGTGACAGGAAAAGACATTTTCTATATTTCTACCGCTTCAGTTGGCGACAAAGTGAAATAGCTTTTCGGCTTCGACGACGTGTATGTACATATGAATATATTTGCATAGACTTTGCTAGGTATCCCTAAAAACAAGCAATGTGTTGATTCTCAGTGGATCTGTTTGCATATATGAGTGTGACTTTGATATGTTTCGAGCTACGGTGCAGGGGTTAACGCCACGCCGGGCGGTGCTGGCGGGTCGGACTCGTTTCAGTAAACCTATTTTATTCTAGTGTTGATGGTGTGTGCACTTTCTGTCTCTCACTCACGGAGGCCTGCTTGGTTGTGGTGTCATCATATTCTCTTGCCACACGTGTTTTTTTTGTTGTTTTTTTTAAAAACCCACGATCAAAGTGAAGCTGTGCATGGTGACATGAACTCGTCGTTAGGACACTGCCACTCACTCATAGTTCTAGACTCTTGATTGACAGAATCGTGTCAGATCTTCTCCACATCGAGTTTGAAATGAAGTCGTTAAACCGGCGACTTCGCTTGTTGTTCAACTGTATCATGTCGGAACCATTTCAAGTGTGTGTGTGTGTGTGTGTGTGTGTGTGTGTGTGTGTGTGTACCCAGGTTGTTTATAGTCTACAAATAGAAAAGTTTCCTCTTGATTGCTTGACCTTTTTTTTTTTTCCTCCTCGCGACGACGCTCCAAAGTGCAGAGCGGTGTGACAGCTGCTGCTGATTATCTCCTTAAACAATCCTTCGGTTTTAAGGCGGTGGAGGTGAGACGGCTGCTTAATGAACCGATGCTGTTTGATGCAATTAGAAGCAGCCCACGAGCGTTCGAGGGGGAAAAAAAAAAAATCCACTGAGCTGTGTGACATTTCCACGAAGGCTGACACGTCTGATGGCAGCGCTGTAGACGTTTTCCATGATCGAGTCATCTTTCCGTCCCTCATTGGATCGTGTAGCTCTGCTCATTTCAGTTCGTTTTATCCATTCAGTCAGCCGCGCTGGAAGAAACATATAAAGGAGTAGTTACACAGTTTGTGAATGTGCTTTCTTGCCCAGAGTTAGATGAGAGGATCGACACTCTGATGTCTGTGTGATAAACATGAAGCTTTACGCAACATCTGCTGAACTTTACGGGAAACAGCAAGTTCAGCTCTGCCCAGAGGTGATGCAGCCTCCCTGCTGACACCTCTGGAGCTCCACGGCTGATTGTAAGTTAATGAATATGCATTTCTAGTGCACGGATCTCTAACTCCGGTCCTCGTGAGCCACTGTCCTGCAGGTTTTAAACGTTACTGCAACACACCTGACTCAGACAAGCTGTTGGAGATCCATTGATCTGAGTCAGGTGTGTTGCAGAAACATCTAAAACCTGCAGGACAGTAGCTCACAAGAACCAGAGTTGGAGATCCAGTTTGATGGCGTCCAAACTTTGCTGACAAACAATTTGGACATTTAAATCTTGTGCTGCAAGTCGATGTACTTTGTTGCATTGACAACAAACATTTTTTGTTAATTTTGGAATTGGTGTTAAATTGCTACCCTCGTTTTAAATCTGCAAATTGAAAACATACAGCTTTAAACTTCCTGACAGTGGTGAAAACTCTACTTAAGTAGGTGTGTGTAGGTCGTCACTGGAAGATGCATCTAATTAAATCCCAGTAGTGACGCTTACACGATCGAATGAGCAACTTAAATTGATATATTAACAGCTCCTTTGTGTCGGTAACAGCTGAACGAATCCACGAAGCTACAGTCAACGGGAGAGTCCTGATCAGTCTGATCTGTCGGCTCTGTCACAGAGATTATTCAGTTGGTAGCATTGATTTAACGAAAGTGATTTATAATTCTTTAATAGCATTGTCAGACCTCGCTGCACTTTTATCACATTTAAACGTAGAGCTCTAATGTGGTAAATAAATATAATATCCAACATGACCACCAGTTTTCCACCAGCAGTCCTCTCCGGCCTTATTTGCAGTCAAAGCGCTTTTAGCTGTAATTAATATTTATATTCATCGTAGTTGAAGTGATGACTGCGTGTCGTAGAAATCGAGCTGTCTGCCTTTTTATTGAAGAAAATCTGCATTAATCAGCAAAGTAGATGCTCTCAGGTTGAGCTTTGAGCCGGTTAAGTCTCTCAAACTTGCTTCACAAATTGTTCTGCACCTACGTTTTGTCACACCATCAACTAGTGAGCTGTGGAAGTCAGATTCTGTCAGCTTTGGACCGAGCCGGGTCGGCCGTTTCCCAACGTTTACAGTTAAACGTCAAACTAAGCAGCTTCGTGTTCACCACACGGAGCAGCATCGACCGTCCTCTCAGCAAGAAAGCACCAGAACATCAAACTCCTCCTCTTAAAGTTTCACACCTGCTCTCTTTCATTTCCATTCTTACAAACAACCGCTTTGTGCTCGTGGGCGCTGATGGTCGACTGAAATGTGACACCACACCGATTGGCTTCAGCCTCACGCAGGTTTGTTCATGTACAAATAAAAAGTTAAAAAAAAAAAAAAACAACGAAAAAAAAAAGGTTCTCTGTCCAATCTAGCAGTGTAGTCACAAGACAATCTATATGAGAAACGAAAACCTGCACCCCTGTTACTCGTCGTGTACAATGTTTTTTAGAATCTCACTATTTTTGGATTAATTTGTGCTGGTGACAGTTCCATTGTCTATTATTATAATGATATTATTATTATTATTATGGAGCTTTTATTTTATTGCTATTTTTGTGTAGGATAGCCGACTGTTTTTATTTTTTATTTTTTTTCTCTCTCTCTCTCTTTCTTATTTTATCTTCCTTATCATAAACATATAGTACTGGTTTCCTTTTTTTGAAACAACTTGCTGAAAATTGCACGATCAGTTATTGTGGTATTAGCAAATGCAATGAAGGAAATACCAGTTAAATGCTGCAATTTTAATTAAGATATAGAATATATTTATAAAAACGGGAAACAACTGAAATTAGTAATTCATGAAATTTGAAAAAAAAAAAAGAAAAAAACAAAGTGTAAATGCATGGGACACAGGTAACAGCGACGCATATGTTACGTACAGTAATGATAAGGACATGCATCACAAACGAGCTCTACGACGACTCAGAATAATGTAGCATATGAAATACTAAAGATGAAATTTATAGCTAATATATTGTGTTGAGCTGGTCTGCTTTGGGTTTTGTTGTAAAGAAAATATTTCTTTTTTTGTCGTTTTTTTGAGAATGATATACAGTTTGTGTATATTTTCATATACAAAGTATGCACTGATATGTTATTGAAATTCTATACCGCTTTTACAAAAAAGTGTTTGTTGTACCAAAGTATCCAAGTCCCTTGAAACCTTATCCTTTTTGCGTATGTTTTACCGTATTTTATATATTAAATAGACAAATTGAGTGAAATGAATCTGGACCTGTGGGTTATTTTTATGGTTTGATGTGAAACAAAAGTGCCTCTGAAATCGTCAGGAACACGTGAGGAGTAAAATATGACTCGATAATCGACCCTTAACGATCCTAAACCTTGCTATCCGACAGGTTTTTAGGAAAAACTAGCAGAACCCATGAAAAACAACCTTAACATAGCGACAGCCTTGGATTCTGACTCCGACATGAATTTTTATGTCACCAATCAGGATGAGGGCGTATTATCTGACTGAACAATCCCACAGATTGGCTACGTTCACACTGCAGGACTTGATGCTCAATGAGGATTTCTTTGTGAGTTCTTTCACATTTCCAGTTAAATACGACTTGTATGTGATCTGCTGTGTGAACTTCATACGACCCAAAAGTGTCCCGCATGCGCAGAAGAGGACACGACGACGTCACACGCAGCGAGTGTGCTCAGTGTTTATGGAAGTAAACATGGATGGTAACAGTGGAGCGTATCTGCCACTCCCCCGTCGCCACCGATGGTGGAAACAGAAGTGTGAGCGCTATCTAAAGTAGCATCAGCAGCCAAGTACTGCCTGTGTGTTCTGGACACTTCCACCCCGTCGGAGCGCTCCCCTGGGGTGGAAGTGTACCCCAACCGCACCAAATATTCAGATATTCATCATTAATTGGGCCTGTGTTGTTCAGACTGTCATAAAAAGACCAGATACAGGTCACGTAGAACACTTCATCTTGCTGTCTGTATTTACCTTTGATGTCAACCAACGGGCCGTGCACAAGCACACCGGTCAATTAGGCTGAAGTCCAGCAATGCGTAGTGTTCTAACAATACACTAGTTATTATAACAACTATGAACAATAATTAACAACTAATGAGCCTTCCAGCATCAAGCCCTCCTTGTATCTCGACCTCCGTCTTGACAATCCGACATAAAAGAAGGTTTTACATGTAGTGTCGGATTTTCGAGTCACTATTGTACCCAGAACTCCTTTTAAAATGTAATTTCGTTCCTGCAGCAGCACGTTGCATTTTCCTTTTTTTCCTCCTCTTCATCCTCGGCTCGTTGTCACAGCTCCGAACACGTGCGACGAGGCTTCATTTCGCACATTCGGTGATAACTAGACGACTAAATTTAGCCGACCTCCGAGGAAAGAGGCGGCAACTGTGTGTCAACAGCAGAGATTAAAGAATAATTAATTATAGCGCTGAAAAATACAATTCTACTGGCGACATACTATGATAACACCTTGTCTTGTTGTGTGTTAGTTAATAGATTTCTCTGAGTCTTCACCTTCCTACCAACACATGGACTTCAGGTAGGAAAATAAAATCACCGGTCAGGCTGTTAAACCAGAACAATCAGCTGGATAACTGCTGGCCAAATATTCTGATTATCAGTTACTTTAGTACGTATTGAAAAGGGATGGATTTTATTTCCAGCTTTTTATTCTGGGACACCACAAGAGCATCTTTTCATGATTCAGATTGGTTTTATCGTCAACGAGTACAACGAAAGGTAAGGTGCAGAGCTGTGGGTGCAAGAAATTAGAAAAAATTATATATAAAAAAAACTCAAAGAAGATGAAATTAAATAATAAGCATGAGCGCGGTGTTTATTGCACAGAGGTAGTGGCAGTTGCATATTAACAATATATTACAATAAAGAGGCATCTGTGGCTCTGACAGACAGCAGTTGGAAAGAAGCTGTGTTTCAGTCCACTAGTCCTGGTTCTGATGGCCCTATGCCGTCTGCAGCAGCTCCAACAGGAAGTGACCCTGCTGGTAAGAGTCCTTCAGGATGGTGTCGGCTCTCCTGAGGCAGCCAGAGCCATGAAGGTCTTCCAGTGTGGGTAGAGGACACCCAGTGACCTTCTCAGCCATTTTGGTGACCCTCTGGAATTACTTCCTGTTTCCTGTGTCGCTGGTTAACCACGTACAGAGGCAGCAGGTGAGGAAGTTCTCCATGGTGGAGCAGAAGAACGACACCAGCAGTCTCTGGCTGGTGTCTTTTGTGTGCCTTATTCCAGGTCAGTTTCTCCTTAATGATTCACACTTAAAACTATGAAACCTACCTTTACAGTTAATCAACGGCTCATTTTTTTTGTATGTGGCCAAATATGCTGTAATATTTCTACTTTACTACATTTCTGAGGGAATCATTCTACTTCCTACCCTGCTGCATTCTTCTGACAGCTACTTTTAAAACAATTGATGACATAACGAGCTTTAGAACTTTGTTAAAGACCAGACCAGTGGCGTCTAACGTTTCACAAAAACAACACAGTCATGCACCGTTTGATAAACGCAGTCACAGCAGATGACTGTATAAAGAAAGGAGTGTTGGGAAATCCAGTGTTCAGAGCTACAGTTACGTACTACTTTTATATAAGTTAATGTTATTATTTGAACCTTTGGGGATGTTTATTTTGGACACCTGTAACAGTACAGTCAGGCAGGTTTATTTGTAAAAGTATAAGAAGACAGATAAAATCAGTCCACAGACCATAAACACAACTATTAATTAATTACATTAAAAGCAAAGAGGCAGATAAGATCAATCCATAAAAACATCAATATAATCATGAATTCGAGGAGTGCAGATCAAATACTTTCAGCTGTCATATGACCAACTACATAGAACTGTTTTCAGCCTGGATGTGAACATCGTCAGAGTTGAGGCCTGTCTCACATCTTCTGAAATCCAGTTCCAGATTTTAGCTGCATAAAACTGGATCCGCACCGTGTTTGGTCCTGACTATGGGCACCAGCAGGAGACCGTCTCTGAGGTCCTCAGAGCCCCACATGGTTCATATGGCACCAACATGTCAGAGATGGACTTCAGTGCTGGACTTGTACACAAGCAGAGCTGTTTTAAAGTCAGCTCTCTGAGCGACAGGAAGCTGGTGCAGAGACTTGAGCGCTGGACGAATGTGGTCCTGGTTCTAGTCGGGACTCGAGCAGCAGCGTTCTGGATAAACTGCATACATACTTTTATATATAACAAAAAATAAGAAAAGCACAAATGTTGCTGCTCCACTTTCTCAAGTTTATTCTCGTATTCTCAGTGTCTTCATCATATATAATAGATAAAGTTGTATTTTGAACAATTGGCCAAAAAAAAAGGACATTTTATAAAAACTGTTTTCTCACATTAATTGACAACAATAAGTGCAGCTGTTTAATATTATTTCTTTATTATTAGTGAACAATTATTCTAGTAAATTCAACTACTTTATGCAATATCAGGTTTGATTTCTAACTGCATCAAATTTACAAAACAATCACAAATTAAAACTGTAATTTTGCATCTAGTGACGTAAAATGTGCAGTATTTTAAGTGTAAGTGCTTCAAAACCGCAGTTAAACACACACTAGTGCTTATTTTGGAAGTTAAAGTTGAGTCATGAAGCTCTTTCGTGGTTTTTCTGTGTGTTTTGGAGTTCTGTGGTAGTAAATGAACTATTTACCGATCAGAAGAGGACTTGAGGTCTTGAAGTCTGTTGGTTTGAGGCTAATTAAATCTGAGACGTGGTTTGTAGACAGTCGGTGTCCTTCTTGGAGATGCTTTTCTGCCTCTTTCATTCACTTCCATCGTGCGTTAACAGAATAAATGTGTTCTGAGTTCCATGTGTTGTAGGAGTGTCGTTGCCATGAGGACCGGGCTCCAAACATTCACTCCGTAATCAGAGGGAAGCTTTTGTTCAGGTGGAGCTCACAGGAATCCTCGTGCAGGTCCTGACAGGTCTGTGAGACGGAAAAGTTTGATATGAAGCGATGGGTGTATGCGAGCATCGCGGGGGAAGCTAAACTGGTGACGCACGTCTAACAGAACTCATGTGGGCCTTATCAAACTAAATCAGGCTGAGGCAGCAAAACCTCAGAGTGAACTGGACCGGGTTGCATCACAAAGTCTTTCCTGTTCAACGAGAAAAGGCTGACTAAGAAATCTGTAGAAGCTGCACTGATGTCTAAGTTCAAACACCTGGACTGTTTGTTGCTCATCTGACTTTGCTGCAGCAACTTTAAACATGAAGTTTTCATGAAGTTCCTGTTAGACACCGTGTTTTTAAAGCTTCAGTTGTGCTTTTTATTTGGATGATTCTGTGATGAACATCTACATCGTCTCAGAGACCTGTGAGCGGTAAAAGGTTGATGGTGTGGGTTGCAGCTGGATCTCCACAAACGTTAGCAGCAGTGGACTTTATTGCTGTAACAACCAATCAGAGGCAGAAGAACTCAGGATGAAGGTCTGTAGTGCAGAATACACACTTTTCAACCTTATAATCCACTAAAAGAAGGCAGTGACATCTATTAGTAAAGACCAGAGCATCACCTTCCTGTTGGCAGACACAGCCAGCTGCCAAACCAAATTAACTAAACTACGCAGTGACAGCACCATCTATGACCGTCATAGGTTGTCTCCAACAACTGGACAAGACGACACATCAGCAGCAGATCACTATAACAGCATCTCAGCACCTCTGGTTGGAGATACTTCAGCTCACATCCACTGATTTTGTGTGGAACTGGTCCCAGATCAAACAGTGGTTTTTATTGGAGCTGCAGCTTCAGTTGCCTTATAATATTAGTATCATTGTTGCTAATTTCT